GTTCAAATTTTATATTTTATCGTGCCTTCAGATACGGATTATGATTAGTTATATAATATTAAAAAATCGAATAGGTCTTATAAATATTTTAAATACTAGTTTAATTTTTTTAATTATTTAATTTAAAATTAAAATAAAGAGAGAGGTATTTTTAAATTGATGGGATTATTTGACATTAGAAAGTGTGTTCAAAGGGAAACTAGAAATTTAGTTTAGGGTGGACACTCCAATTCTAAAATTTAATTAATATTTTTCAATCGATAAAAATATAATAATAAATTTATATTTATTTAGATAGAGGTCAATCCTGGAAAATTAAAAATTAATTGTATGTCACTTACAAGTAATTTCATGTTTAAATTAAGAGAATAAAAAAATTATAAATTATACTTAAAAATATATTAATCGCAGAAAACTCAATCACAATAAAATACATTAAACAACAAACTAAAGGCTAATTGGAGCTCATAGTTGGGGGGGGGGGGGGGAATCGTCAGGCAAGAATCATGAGAATAAATATGATGAAATTAATAAATAGTCATGAGCAACAGTGTTATTGCCTCATGAAATTTCATATAAAAGTAGGAAATAGCTCGCTCGAAGCTTGCACAATCACCAATTGCATATTTTTATCACTCCATTTCTCTCTAATTCTCTCAATCTCTTATTTATTTTTCATTTTATGCAAGTAATCTCATAAAATTACGGTATATATGTGAAATTTTTTTCAAGTTCAAATGTTTTTTTATTTTATTTATGGACATGATTCTTAAGTGCTTACAAAATAAACTTAAATTTTATCACCTCATGATCTTACTTTTGATCTAATATTTAAAAAAGTTATTATTTTTTTAAAAAAATTTCATAAAATGAGTTTCAATATGTCTAAAATATATTCAAACATGGTTGAAGCATGTCTGTAACATGCTCAATTATTTTGTATTAGCTTATATAAAAATGCTAGTTATTACCTCAATTGTAATAGGGGGTGAGCAGTGGTAGTGGTGGTGATGGTAGAAGACGGTGATGGATTTGGTGGGTGGCGATGATCATGGTGATGGTGGGCAGCCGTAGATAGCAACGGTAATGGTGGTGGGTTGGTTTTGGGTGACGATGATAGTAGTGGTAATCATGGGTGACGACGGTGATAGCGGGTGATAATTGTGGTGGTGGACGACAACGGTAGCGACAGAGATAGTGATGGTGAGGTGATGGCGACAATGGTGGTGGTGTGGTGGTAGGGGGTGATGGTAGGACGGTGGGGGGTGGGGGGTAGGGGTGGTAGGGATAATCGTGGGACAGTAGCGATGGTGGTAGGATAGTGGAGCGATGGTGGTGGTGGTGGGGCAGTTGTAGAGGTGATGATGGTGGGGGCGATTGTTGTGGCAAAGGTGGCGGTGGGATGGCGACAGTGGTAGTGGGGGGGTGGGGCTGTGATGGTGGTGGGGGGGGGGNTTATTTATGGACATGATTCTTAAGTGCTTACAAAATAAACTTAAATTTTATCACCTCATGATCTTACTTTTGATCTAATATTTAAAAAAGTTATTATTTTTTTAAAAAAATTTCATAAAATGAGTTTCAATATGTCTAAAATATATTCAAACATGGTTGAAGCATGTCCGTAACATGCTCAATTATTTTGTATTAGCTTATATAAAAATGCTAGTTATTACCTCAGTTGTAATAGGGGGTGAGCAGTGGTAGTGGTGGTGATGGTAGAAGACGGTGATGGATTTGGTGGGTGGCGATGATCATTGTGATGGTGGGCAGCCGTAGATAGCAACGGTAATGGTGGTGGGTTGGTTTTGGGTGACGATGATAGTAGTGGTAATTATGGATGACGACGGTGATAGTGGGTGGTAATTGTGGTGGTGGACGATAACGGTAGCGACAGGGATAGCGATGGTGAGGTGATGGCGACAATGGTGGTGGGGTGGTGGTAGGGGGTGATGGTAGGACGGTGGGGGGTGGGGTGTAGGGGTGGTAGGGATAATCGTGGGACAGTAGCGATGGTGGTAGGATAGTGGAGCGATGGTGGTGGTGGTGGGGCAGTGGTAGAGGTGATGATGGTGGGGGCGATTGTTGTGGCAAAGGTGGTGGTGGGATGGCGACAGTGATAGTGGGGGGGTGGGGCTGTGATGGTGGTGGTGGGGGGGTAGTTATGGTGGTGATAATAGTGACGGTAGGACAGTTCCAAACACTATTTTTTTTAAAGTACTTATGAGAAGTTATAAAATACTTTTAAAAAATTATTTAAACACACCCTTATGAGTTTATTTCTTATTAAATTTGAGGTGTTAATATTAGCTCTCAGATTAACTTTAAAATAAAATTTAAAGAGATCTCAACCGCAAAAAATAAAAATTATTTTATTTATTTTTTGAGATTTGAATTATATTATACTTTATTATATAGATTAAGCTGAACACAATAAAAATATTTTAAAAATTATTTAACAAAGTAATATATTTATATACTGATGATGCACAAATTGAGTTTGTACACCACCTGTCAATTAAACAGTAAAAAATACAGTAATTGATAAGTAGAGAGAGAGAGAAGACAAGATTTATAGTGATTCAATCACCGTGACCTATGTCCACTTTGAATAACAAGGGTTGCACGGGTATTTTATTAACTCAAGTGTATAGAGAGAGTAAAGAGTTACAAGCTTTGAGAGGGTGATAAGAGAATTATACTCGAATGAGTGTGATGCCTCTCAAGTGTTGACAGGACTTACAATTTATAGTCACCTCATAACGGATTGGAGCAACTTAATTGTGATTATATAGCTAATCTGACAGTCATAACAGATTGAGACGATTTAATAGTAATTAAATAGTTGATCCAGCGGAGGTGATGACCTTTTCTCAACGGGCGAGGTAGTTACGGTGCTCTTTATGAAATTCGGTCAAAGATGAGGTGAGGGTTAATTCTTTCCAAGGCAGCGAGGCTGAGGTCTTGGATGACCCTTACTCCAAAGTGAGTAGGAGGAAGCTCTTAGATGACCCTTGCATGCTCCCTTCCTGATGTAGCTCTTCAAACCTGATGAGCTTGATCGGGCATAGACTACTTTGGATGCCAGATCTCTTAGAGTTAGACTCGTAATTTAAACTGAGCTTGTAACATGAGTTGAGCCTTTGGGCCTAACCTATCATATACATAAAAAAANTAACTTTATTCCTTCAGTTCTAAGTAAAGAAGCAACCGTCATTTATGGAGGTTTTCCCAAACCCAGCCCCTCAAATCTTATTTTTAAAATTTAATCAGTTTTGAATTTATTTTTTAAATTTATTTTTTTTAAAACATCATTTAAAATGACGCCTTCAGTTGTTAAAACGTCATTTGGAATGACGATTTAAAGTTGAATTTTTTTTCCTGAAAACATTATTACGAATAACGTTTTTAAAGTCGTTATTTGTAATATCGTTTTAAACATGAATTTTAAACGGCAGTTAACGGGCGTTAAAAAAAATAAAAGGGTTGAAAATGTCATTTGTAATGATGTTTTAAAAACGTCATTACAAATGACGTTTTAAACCTTTTATAAATAATGACGTTTTCAACCCCTTAACCTTTTATAATGACATTTTCTACCCCCTTAGTCATTTACACTGAGTTTTCTTAGCCAAAAGTCTTCATCCACCAACTTGTAATAAATTTTATAAAAGCTTATTAACTCCACCTTATGTCTTACATAAAGATTCACCAGACAAAAAAAAAAATTGAATAAAATTTTGAATTTAATTCCCTTTGCATAATAATTTTAAACTTATTTTATAAACGAAAATAATATTCATAAAAGCATAACTAAATTTCATATTTTTCAATATAAAAACATATTTGTAAAACATATATTTAATAAAAAAACCTTAAAAGCGTGTTTTGAAAGTCTCAAACTTAAAAATCTCCTGTGTCATATGGCACTCAAACTAGTTCTTAGTGTTTTACTACGGCTATTGTGTAGTGAAACTAGTTGTGCACTATCCTTTGCTGATCGAATGACTATCCAACTTTTTAAAAGGCCAAATTGGTGAATGTCGAGTTCACCAGACTGTCTACGTTACATGGAACATTAGGATGTCATATTGTAGAATTCATGTCGGAAATGTATATTTCCTTAAGATTATCATTATTCTCAGTGGTATGTTCCTGCTTTCTCTGTCTCACTAGTATGGCATTCTATTTTTATTTTTATTTTTTTAAAAAAGAGAATTTTATTTATTGAAATCCAAAAATTACAAGAAGCAAAAAACAGAAACTGTTAAGCAAAACAGTAACTGTTTTAACAATCAAAACAGTCAACTGTACATAAATAACTGACAAAAAAAACCTGTACAACAACTATTTTAGTCCTGCAACTCATCTCCTACTCTTCAGTTCATCTCCTGCCCCACAGTTCAATAGAAAACCAAGGAGCAAAGTAATTGAAAAAATTCTAATTACAAAGAGTTGGCTTTAATCCTTCAAAAGGATTAAAACCCAATAACTATCTTCAGCGTCCAGTCCTCAAGTACACAAGCAGTCCATAATCACAGACTGCCTGCAAAAACAACCCAAAACTGGATCTGATACTCCTCCAGCTGTGAAATGAGCTCTTCCTTCAACACACAGATCAGCTTCTGTTCCTTTGTTCACAGGCCAGCTCATGAAAAACCTTACTCATCCCAAACAGAATCTGAAACAGCAACAAACTTCCAGACAGCAGAAAACTACTGAAACAAAGCTTCTGTCCACATAGATCAGCAAACCATTCCACAAACTAGACCATTTCAAAAACTCCACCCCACCAGCTATCCTCAGAAAAATCATCCCAGCAGAAAAGAACTATAGCACCTACTGCAACGGTAGCAACTGCTAGTAGTCAAGTCTGTCTGCCCAGTTCAAATCATAAAAGAGGTAATGTACCTCTATCAATAACCTTTTTCAATCTTGCTGTAGGTAGCAAGCTCTGATCCTTCTGCAACAGCAACATCCCAGCAAGTGGCAAAACACCACTAGCTGAAAAGTCAGAATTCCTCTCAGTCAGAACAGCAAAGGATGCTAAAAAGTCTGCAATCCCATTAGCTTCTCTATAGATGTGTTTAATTTGCACTTTCAAGAAACCAAACAGATACTTAATCCTCTCCAATAAAGGTTGCAATCTCCATGGGACCTCTGCTAGCACTTTCAAGAAACCAAACAGATACTTGACCTCAAGGTAGCATATTAAATGTCATGATTTATTTTTTCTTGTGTAATAAATACTAAAACTGGTCAGGCTTATATTAAATAACAAAATAAGCTCATTGTCCATTTAGGTTCACTATCAAATGGTTGAATTGCTGGTAGAGGAAGAAAGGAAAATATTCATTGGTTCGATGTGTTAGTGAAATTGTAAGACAACTACCATAACTATTTAGGACAAAGATGGTCTGCATGAAGACACCTGAGTACCGCATTGAGAACGAACATGACCATACCAGAATAATTAATCAGTAAATGTACCAAATATATTCCATTTGAGGTAAATCGGATCAGTGTGTTTTATTTGTTAAAAGAGAAAGATTGTTTCTTGGTGGACTGTTAATCTACAGAGTTCAAAATCAGTGCTTTACCCTTTTGGTTTCTAAATCCTTCACATACTTCCACCCACTTGGAGATTTTATTCACATACTTCCACTGGTTTTTTTTGCTGTTTAATGAGAGTTAATTTTTCGGGAAAATCATAGCCATGGGATATTCATCTTGCCAATACTGGAAGCTGATATTCAGCTTGCCAATACTCTGTAAAGTAGTAGTTTTGATTCAATTTGTCCTATACTCCTATTGAATTCCACCTTCATGGTTCATTTCGGTTCATTTCTTTTCATTTTTGCAATTGAATTGAGCAATTAGCAGTTAAAAGTAGAATTATTATTGTTGTCGCCAATTAATCTTTCTTGGTTTTTGATGCTTCAATTGCAGGCTGTTTAAATGTTCTGATCATCTATGTGGTAGTTGATTGTGGGAAGATTACCAGGTCGTTAAGAAAAAAAAAATAAAAAAAATTCCCTCGAGTGACGCATTTTATCGAGCAAATGGAGACCAACAGTACTTACAAAGGGGAAAATTCGAATGAGTTCTCTTGGAAACCAAAACGGATGCAACCATGAAAGAGGAAATGAATTGAAACTAATAGTATCTAAAATCCCTAACTCCAGTACTATACCATACATGTAGTATACATGTAGTACATTTTAACACATAAGGGTGGAAAATAACGGAATAATTGGAGAGAAATGGAGAGAATACCACCGGAGAAATGGAGAGAGCACCGCCGGAGTGTTCCTCTTCGTCAGACTAGCCTTCCTCGTCGGAGAAGACTGGGGGGGCTGCAATTGGATGGCGGACGGCAAGCACAGGGGATCTGAGAGAGGGATCTGAGCGAGAGAGGGGATCTGGTCTGAGAGAGGGGATCTGATGGAGAGAGTGAGAGGATCTGACTAAGGGTGATCTGAGAGAGAGAGAGAGAGATGCGATAGAGAGCGATAGTGTTTTAAAAAATCTGAGACGTAAAGTATTTTAAATCGTCGTTCAAAATGACGTTTCACCATGTGAGGCGGTAGGGCGCAACTCAGGCGGGATGGACGGTGAATTGTAGTCCAATCTTAGCTATATAATTTTTACCCTTAATTTTAATTTTATCTCGGGTTGAAAAATTTAATCCGAGCACTGCCCGAGTTTAATTCGAACGGGTTCGGGTTGAATTCGAGTTGATGATTTCGGGCTGATTCGGGTTACTTTACGGGTTCAATTTGGATAAAACCCAAAATAGACTTGTTGTTCTAAATCTAATACATGTATTACATATTATTCACCTAAATTAACAACCAATAATTTCAATCAAGTTTTTAACGAGAGAGACTGAGAGAATGAGAAAGGCAAAGAGAACGAGAAAGACAGAGAACGATAAAACAAAAATGAAAAATCAGTGTTAATGCTCGATATATATATAATTTTTTTTTAAATTTGTCGGGTTCGGGTTGAACTCGGGTTCACGAGACCTTAACCCATGCCCAACCTAAAATTGAATTCAGGTTGAAATTTTTTGACTTAAGTCCAACCAAAGTATTAAAAACTCTTGTTCAAGTTCTAATTTTTTCGAGTTGAACTCAGGTTAAAATCGAGTTGCCCAACCCAAGTTGCACCCCTAAGAGATGTTATTGCAAATGACGTTTTCAAAAAAAAACTGAATTTGAGAATTATGTTTAAAAATGATTGGGTTATAGAAATAAATTTTGTTAACGGCTGGGTTTGGGGAAAACCTCATTTTTTATGTGTAAACGTTGTTAAAATTAGGAGTGCTAAAATATGATACGCTCGTTAACACAAACACTACAAAAAATTAAAGAGTTTGAATCTTCCTTAAACTATTTATTTTATAAACAAATGAATATGAAACTATACGATTAATAAATAAATCGGATAAAACCAATTAAAAGAAATATATGACACGATTTATTTTATTCTAATTATACACAATTCATACATTACTCAAATTTGATATGACATGATTCGTTAGCATTATGAACCAAAGGAAAGTATCTAGACTGCAAGCATAACTTAATGCAACAAGCTTCGAAGAATTTCGCAAGCCACTCATTCAACTATATTCATGATCTAGCAATCCTATATCAATTGCTAGCAACTGCCTAGCACACGAATGTTGGCAATTCATTGGATCAGGTCATGAAAGAATTATTCTTAGTTTTAGCATAAATGACATATTTTTGACTAGACCAAAGAGGTGATTAATCGAGGTGTGCATAAACTGACTTGAGCACCCCTACCGTTGAACAAAAAAATAAACTGCCTAGCACACTAATCTGTATGTAGAGACCAACTTCCCAACCATTTGTTGTAACCCAATATATCTATGCGAAACAGTAATGCAAACAAATCTTAGATCAATCTTTCAGCTGGGGGAACATGATTAACAGTCAAAGGACAGACAATGAAATAATTCCCTTCATTCCCTCCTTGAAACACATGAACCAACTCTTTCTTTATAACTTAAACTGCAAAACCCCAAAGAAATTTCTGCTCCCAAATAAGGGCAAAACCCTGTTGACAACTCAAACTAATACAAATCTCATGTCGATAATCATTTCCACGTGTACCAAAACCATTAACATTATCGGGGATGTCTTAATAGGGTGTAGCTGCACCTTGGTTGAGCTCTGCAAATCTCATGCCAACACGCATAGAGTGCTTCAGAAACTTCTCAGCACAACGGCGAACACAGGTCTCCTCTTGTTTGTCTAGGGATTTGCGTCGGAAGGTGTCCACACAATCAGTGAAGCATCTTTCCACTAATGAACTGTACATCCTCAAACTGCAGAAGGCAAAAAAGAATGTGTGCATCATGACTTGTAAAACAAAGTTCTTATAACCAGTGTAAGCATCCTCTTATGTTATTCCACCAAATATATGTTCGTTCCAGATTTCAACAGCAACGAACTATTAAGAGAAAATACCACGACTTGTCACACAGCAAATCGTAATTGTTGATGCAAAATTAATATAACGTGTCAGGGAGTTTTGCATGGCAAAGGAGGCCACTACAGCTCAGATTAATGCAGTTCCCAGACTATCAGGCACTTATACAAGTTGAGCAACCATGCATCTTACCATGACAAATCTACATGGAAGCAATTATGGAAAAAATTACAAATTTGTCCAGCAGTTAGACCAAAATATCAAATTTCCCTTTTCTTCTTTTGATTGGGGGGTTCAAAATCTTTTATTGTGAGCAACTGAGTAGATTACAAGTTAAATTTATAGTTATACACCTTTTAATAACAAACACTGAAACCAGCGAAATTAGAGGCCGCGGGAAGGTGCGAAGAACCATAGGGAATTGAGCCACCAAGAATACAGTAAACTAACATTGCTACACTGATGGTCGCAGAAGACAATCGATAGAAATGCATCCATGACCTATGCATCCTTAACTTTGTTTTCCTTGTGTAAATAGCCAATAACAAGAATCAAAGTATAAAGAAAGAAGTGTAAAGCTTCAGAATGGTTTCTAGGAAGGCAAAAAATAAGTTAATATCTCTGCTGGACAACGGTATAGATCCCTCAAACAAGATATTCAGTTGCATTAAACATACGAACAAAACTGGAACTGCTCAACCTTTCTTTGAGCTCCTTGGATATAAGTTTCTGATGCAGGCCAAGTATCCCTGATCTTCGTAGAAAAGGTCAACCTAATACTAGTAATCGGAGAAGTAACAGAATCATGAATCAGTTCTGTTTTTACACATCTGAATTTTCAGTACCATCAGTAGTGAACGAAAAAAATACTTGGACTAACAACCAGAACATTGTGGAATCAAATCTAAGACAACCCACTTTGTGCAAATAATTCATACTCAGATATTTACCCAATCCACCCTTCCTAATAGGAGTGAAAATCGTGTTGAGTCGAGCCATTTCGGGTTTTTGTTGAACACTAGTTAACACTAGTCCAACCCGTTTAAGTAAGCATGTCGTGCCAACTTACTTATTTTCGCGTCCTCTCCGTATTAACCAATATAACCCGCAAATGAAAAATTAGAAGAATTATATCTGAATTCCCTGAGATTTGGCACTTAACTCCTCAGATCCCCTGATTTTTGAAATATTACACACAAACTCCCTGAAGTTTGTACATGCATAACACTTAGACTCTTACTGTCAAATATCGTTAATATATTCGCTAGAAAATTACACACAAACTCTCTGAAATTTGTAAGCGTATAATATTTAGACCCATTAAGTTTAAAATATTATACTTAAACCAAAAATACTCCAATCAAAAATAGAATATCAAATATTTTAAATTTTAAAATAAAATTCATAATCTATTGTATCATTTATTGAAATAAAATCAAAAATAAAAAGTTATTTTTTTCTTGAAAAATTGTAATTCTATTGGAATAAAATTAAAAAATTAAACAAAATGTCTAAGCCATTTATAATAAAATATGAATTTTACAACAAAAATTTATGTTTTATTATGTCATTTATTAAAATAAAATTAAAAATAAAAATTTAATTTTTAAAAAAAATCATAATTAGTATACAATTATACTATCTATTAGAATAAAACTAAAAAATTAAACAAGGGGTCTACGTCATTCATAATAGAACATGAATTTTGCAAAATTCATGTTCTATTATGTCATTTATTGAAATAAAATCAATAATAAAAATTTAATTTTTTTAAAAAAATCATAATTAATATACAATTATATTATCTATTGGAATAAAACTAAAAAAATTAAACAAGGGATCAAACTGTAATGAACACAATATATTCTAGTTTTAATTGAGATAATTTAGTCGTTTAAACAATCAAATTAAATTTCAACAGATAATATAATTGTATACTAATTATCATTTTTTTAAAAAAAATTAAATTAAAAATTTAATTTATTTCAATAAATATCATAATAAAACATGAATTTTTATTGTAAAATTTAAAATATTTGATATTCTGTCTTTGGTTGGAGTATTTTTGATCTAAGTATAACATTTTAAACTTGAAGGGTCTAAGTATTACACGCCTATAAACTTCAGGGGGTCTGAATGTGGTAGGGGTCCAAGTGTTACGCACGTACAAACTTTAGGAGATTTGTATGTAATATTTCAAATATTAAAAGGTCTAAATAATTAAGTGACAAACTTCAGGAGGTTTGAATATAATTATCCCTAAAAACTTTAACACCCAATTTTATATTTAAAATTTTATTATCACTTAATCAAACTTATGCTCATACTTTTTTTATGAATTAAAAATTAACTTAATAAATATAAGAATAAAATAAGTAAAAGTATTTTTTTTCTAGGTCGATAATGTACCTAAAATAATGGAGCTTTTTAAAAATTTGGGACCTAAAACCTGAGACTTTTTTTAATACTGTTGAGCCACCCCTGGTATTAACATATACAAGTTTGTATGCAGAAATAATGGGCCCTAACCCGTTAATTTTGTGTTGATTTTTAGTCGTGTTTAATTGCCACCCCCTACTAACGAGGAGTATATTTGTAAAGGAAATGCTTATGATATGAAAATCACCAAAGGTTAACTTGAGTTTGATCGATCAACAGAGAAGCATATAAGATGCAAGGAATTGAAGTCATTTTACACTTATTATGAATTAGTGTAACGAATAAGAGAGATTGAGAAGTGAAAACAGTGTGTAATGTCTACAGAACACGATTTGTAGCACTGATTATGAATCAAACAAGTCCGAACAAAATCTAACTTATGCTTCTACCTAAACAACAACAATGGTGCTAATCACGCTCCAAAAAAGCTCATTGGAAGTAAGAAAGGGATTTAAATCCCCTCCATTACCCCTTCCCTTCAGTTCTCCTCAATATAGTGCTAGATGACTAACATATGTAAAATTTTGAATTTCAATGAATGAGGTGTTTCCTCGTTCATTTTGTTCTCGATGGTGTGTTAATGAAGGAATTTTCTCATATATCACTCATCGAGCACCGTATTGAGAGAAATTGAAGGGAAAGGATAACAGAGAAAATCTGGATCCGTAACAAAACTATGTCTCATACACATAAACGTTGAATGCAAGCATTTGAACAGAGAGAGAGAGAGAGAAAGATAGAGAACCTGTCACAGATCTGGAGCTGGTCGATCATGGAAGACATTCTAATCTTGTCTTCCTCCGGAAGATAATCCAAATCTCCAAGCATTCCCTTGTCTATCTTCTTCGATTCAGAAAGTCTCGGCAAAATTAGTGGAAGTGATTTCTCCAAAACCCTAGTAATCGTGTGAAGCTGGTAAAGTCTCAAGCTTTTTTGCTAAAAGGTCCTCCTAATTTAGTTAATATATGTTTTGCACTCGCACCCCTAAAGTTTTGTAGAATTTTCTTTAGGTTCCACAAACCAACTACGGAACAAATGGGTATTCTATTTTGGGTGAACCTCAACTTGTATTCCGAAAAATTATTCGAATTTCAATTTACATTCTGAAAGTTTTAAAAATATCAATTTATACCATAAAAGACGTAATTTCGTATCAATATGCACATAGAGCTAATCGTCGTCCATTTTGCCGTTAAAAAAGTGTGGGCTAATTAAAAGTTGCACTCTCAAAGTTAAAATATTTTACATTTATGATCTAAAAACAATTACATTCATTAACGTTCATTAAATAATTCTCAATTGTGTCGTATTGTGTCTAATTTTAAACAAAAAATATCTATTTAATGAGTATTGTAGACAAAAAATAGATATTTTAAAAAAATTAAATAATATTATATGAATTGTCGTTAATGTGAAATATGCGACACAATACAATTGACCCAACAAGAAAAAATTGTGTTAAAAATAATTTTTTATTGACTCAAANGTGAAATATGCGACACAATACAATTGACCCAACAAGAAAAAATTGTGTTAAAAATATTTTTTTATTGACTCAAACACGATACAAAAATAACACAATAGGACACAAAATGACACGATACGAAAATGTTATGATACAACAAAATTGAGAGGTATTTAATGAGTATTAATGGATTAAATTATTTTTGGATCATATATATAAAATATTTAAATTTGAAGGTACAATTTGTAATTTGTCCAAACTTTTTTAATGGCAAAATGGACGACAATTAACCTTCGGTGTACATTGATATACATTTATATATTTTAGGGTATAAATTAATATTTTTAAATTTTAAGGGTGCAAATTAAAATTTAAATCATCTTTTAAGGTGCAATTTAAGATTAACCCTTTTTTTTTGGTGCTAGATAAAGGGGGGAGAGGTGACCAAGTACCACCACGAGGATCTCCTATTATAAAATATTCAGTTTGAATTGTAACTATTAATTTGAATGACAATTCGTCACCACAATATTATCACAAACAACAAACCATGTTAGCTAGTAACGACATCAAGATTTCAGTCATTACATATTTGGAATTAGTCAAATAAAAATGGACTAAAAGGAAAAGACTGTTTCTATTAACTCCAACTTAGGATACTCAGACTATAATAGGTTTGTTTTTGTATCAATGTATGGTTAGACCAACAATCTCTAGTGTGTTGTGGCAGTCTCAAAAGATAATTTACTTTTTTTTGCTTACCACATTTGAAGATGGGCTCACCGGCAAAATATTTTGTTTAGTTAAGTTGAGTTGTACCGACGGTCAAGCAAAACTTAGCAAAAAAGTAAATCAAAGTGAGAGCTCTGATAGAGAAGCCAGCCAAATCAGATCATAGCTATTCTAAACGTTTTATAGAAAATGGATAATGTGCAATTAGCAATACGTTAAAAGTGATTGTTTTATGGTATTCTATTAAAACTAAATAAATTTGAAAAATAAAGAAATGTTACCCTTAGTCTAAATCGCGTCGACAAATGGTTTAAGTATTAGAAATGATCGAATTAGATAATGTTGTCCATCACTTATCTATTCATCCAGCCCTTAGATTAATTATAGTGATAATCCCTCTTCATTCCACGTTTGGTTCAAGTATTAAGAATTAGTGGACCCCACATTTATCCCATCTAATATTTTGTTTGAATGGAGTATTGAATGATGGTATAAATATTAAATTACTAAAAAAATCCTCAAGATAAAGAGTAATATTTATATCTTAGAAATACTTAAGGATAAAAATATCTTTTGGCCAAATACATCATAATTGGACTATTTAAACTGTTGAATAAATTAGTAGCAACACCTTAGAATGTGTTGATTTGGGTTGTCCTAGTCTTTAGGAGTTCAATAGTTTGTTTCTATTTTGTTGCCTAGTTCGTAGGAGTTGTTTAGCATGATGTTAGTGGTGTCTATTTTTGTGTATGTAACAGTTTGTTTTTTTGGCCTATATAATGGACATTCCCTTATCAATGAAGAAGTGAAGTTTCAGTCTAACTCTGTTTTCCCTTGTTTTTAGTTTATCATTTTCTTCTTCCATTTTACATCAGTGGTATTAGAGCTTGGTTAGAGTTCCACAATGGTTTCTGAAACTTTTGTGCAGCCAACCATTCCAAGTTTTGATGGTCACTATGACCATTGGAGCATGCTCATAGAGAATTTTTTGAGGTCCAAAGATTATTGGACAGTTGTTGTTTCTGGAGTAGCAGAACCAGCAACAAGTGTTGTGCTGATAGATGCACAGAAGGTGGAGTTTGAAGGGCAGAAATTGAAAAATCTCAAAGCAAAGAATTATTTCTTCCAGGTAATTGATCGTTCCATCATGGAAACCATTTTTTGTAAAGAAACTTCCAAGCAAATTTGAGACTCTATGAAGAAGAAGTATGAGGGGACAACAAAGGCAAAGAGGGCACAACTTCAAGCACTTCGAGGCGATTTTGAAACTTTACACATGAAGTTTGGAGAATTGGTGTCAGATTACTTCTCTAGGACGATGGCAATCACAAATAAGATGAGAATCCATGGCAACAAAATGGCAGATGTCACTATCATTGAGAAGATTCTTCGTTCGATGACAACAAAATTCAACTATGTTGTTTGTTTGATTGAGGAATCTAAAGACACTGACAATATGTCCATTGATGAATTGCAGAGTTCTTTGTTGGTTCATAAGCAAAAAATGAATTGGCAAGACAAGGAGGAGCAAGCGTTACAAGCCTTGACATCAAAAGAAGGAGGTCAAAGACGAGGAAGATGCAGAGGCAGAGGCAGAGATGGCAATGATGGTAGACACTCAAATTAGAAATCTAAAAATTATGATTCTCAAGGAAGAGAAAAAGGCCTTGACAACAACAACAATCATTCAACGCCTTCCAAGTCAAAGTCAGCAGACAAATCAAGAGTTGAATGTTACAGGCATCACAAGTTTGGCCATTACAAGTCAGAGTGTAGTACTAATCTAATGAGAGATAGTTGAAAACAATCCAATTTTACTGAGAAGGAAGAAGAAGTGTCTTTGTTGATGGATTGTCACGTGAAGGAGGAAATCGACAAGAAATTCTTGTGGTACTTAGACACTGGTTGCAGCAACCATATAAGTGGAGAGAAGTCTGTATTCCCTGAATTGGATGAAGCTTTCCGTGATGTTGTGAAGTTCAGTGATGGCTTTGCAGTGTCTGTTATGGTAAAGGAAAAGGTAACAATTCAAATCAACATAAATTCTATTCAAACTATTTCTAACGTTCTCTTTGTTCCAGATTTGAGAACAAATTTACTTCGTGTTAGTCAGCTACAAGAAAAGGGATATGGAATCTCTATCAAAAATGGAGTCTGCAGAATTGAAGATGAGAAGTTGGGCTTGATAGCTCAAGTCAACATGATAGCCAACAAAATGTTTCCATTATATCTCCATGACATCGCTCACTCATGCCTTTCTGCAAGATTGGGAGAGAAGGAATGGCTATGACATTTTCGCTATGAGCATTTTAGCTTTGGCGGGTTGAAGACTTTGCAACAGAAGAATATGATGACTGGTCTTCCTCAAATTACAGCCCCTTTTGAAGAAAGTGTTGTTAGCAAACAACATCGTAATCAATTCCCACAAGGGAAATCATGGAGGGCGAGGACTGCACTATAGCTTGTTCATTCCGACATTTGCAGGCCAATAACTCCATGCTCTAATGGAGGTAAGAGATATATACTTACCTTCATTGATGATTTTAGTCACAAAGGCTGAGTTTATTGTTTGCAAGAGAAGTCTGAAGCCTTTCTAGTCTTTAAAAGCTATAAAGCACTGGTTGAGAAAGAAGTTGGCAGTCCCATAAAAATTCTTCGCACAGATCGTGGTGAAGAATATAACTCACATGAATTTGCAAGTTTCTGTGAGACTCATGGAATCAAGAGGCAGCTTACAACAACTTATATGCCCCAACAGAATGACATTTGTGAAAGGAAGAATCACACTATTCTAAATATGGTGCGAAGTATTTTAATAAGGAGTTGTATTCCAAAGAGTTTCTAGCCTGAAGCAGTTAACTGTAGCATTCATATATTGAATAGAAGTCCCACACTTGCTGTTCAAAATATGACACTAGTGGAAGCATGGAGCTGACGAAAACTAATTGTTGATCACTTCAGAATTTTTGGATGTGTTGCATATGCCCATATTCCAGATCAGAAGAGGAAGAAGCTGGATGACAAGGGAGAAAAATGTATTTTTATTGGTGTTAATGATTAGTTAAAAGCTTATAAGCTTTACAATCCTAACATTAAGAAAATACTTATCAGTCGAGACGTTGTTTTTGATGAAGATCAAATCTGAGAATTGAGCAAAAATATAGTTGGAGAGCCAATTCCAACTAGTTTTGCTGGAGAAGATGCTGATGACGCAAACCAACCACAACAACATCTTGTTCCAGCAATTGACCCTCAAAATGAAACTCCTATAGCCTCTAAAGTCACTCCAACAACACTAGAAGCAGCAGCTAAATCACATTCTCATCATGTTCGAAGGAGGCCAGCATGGATTTCAAATTATAAGGTAACCAGAATTGATCAATCTAAAGACCCACTCACTCATTTTGCTCTATTTTCAGATTGTGATCTTACAGTGTTTGAAAGTGCTGTCAAAGAATCAAATTGGTGGAATGCTATGGATGCTGAAATTTCAACCAACGAAAAGAATGACACTTCGGAGTTATCTTCTTTCAGAAGGCGCAAAACAATTGGTGTGAAGTGAATTTATAAGACAAAGCTGAAGGAGAATTGTGAAGTCGACAAGTACAAGGCACACTTGGTGGCCAAGGGTTATAAGTAAGAGTTCGGTGTTGATTATAAATAAATCTTTGCTCCATTAGTAAGTCATGACACAATCAGATTGGTGATTGCATTAGCAGCTCAAAACTCATGGTCTATCTTCTAGCTGGACGTGAAGTTGGCGTTCCTCCATGAAGATTTGAAGGAACTGGTATATATCAATCAACCTCCTAATTATGTGAAATCTGGAAATGAGCATAAAGTGTATAGACTAAAGAAGGCTCTATATGGATTAAAAAAATCCCCACGACCTTGGTATAATTGTATAGAAACTTATTTTGTGAAGGAAGGATTTCAAAATTGTCCTTATGAACATACACTTTTCATAAAAGTTGAGGATGGAGGGAAAATGCTCATTGGTTGCTTATATGTAGATGATCTAATCTATACTAGAAGCAATACATTCATGTTTAAAAGCTTTAAGAAATCCAAGATAACTGAATTTGAAATGTTTGATCTTGGCATGATGCATTACTTTCTTTGGCATAGAAGTGTTGCAGTCCTCTATTGGCATTCTTATTTCTCAAAAGAAGTATGTTGGAGAAATCTTGGACAGGTTTCTGATGAAGGATTGTAATCCTGTGAATACATCGTCTGAGTTTGGCTTGAAGTTAAACAAGGATGATGGAGGATAGAAGGTTAATAGTACTCTTTACAAGCATATTATGGCGAGCTTAATGTATTTTACTGCAACAAGGCCTAATATAATGCATGTTGTAAGTGTCATTAATAGATACATGGAGTGTCCGACAAAGATTCATCTTTTGGCTGCAAAAAGAATTCTTAGGTACTTGCAAGGTACTAAGGAGTTTGGGTTGTTCTTCAAAAAGGGAGAAAAGTTAGATTTGTTTGGCTTTACAGATAATGATTATGCAGGAGATTCTGATGATCGAAAAAGTACATCTGGGCATGTTTTTATGTTGGGAACATGAGTTATTTCATGGTCATCAAAGAAGCAACCAATCGTCACATTGTCAACCACTGAAGTTGAATTTGTTGCAGCAACAACTTGTGCTTGTCAAGTTTTTTGCCTGAAGAAGATTCTTGAAAAGCTGCACTTCAAAGAAGATGGGCCTACTCTCATTTACAGTGACAACAGTTCAACAATAAAGCTCTCAAAGAATCCTGTTCTACATGGTCGAAGCAAGCATATAGATGTGAAGTATCATTTCTTGAGGGATCTCACGAATGATGGAGTTATTAATCTGGTTTACTGTAGGAGTGAAGACCAGATTGCTGATATTCTAACAAAGCCTCTCAAATTTCCAGCATTTCAAAAGCTTAGGGAGCTACTTGGTGTTTGCATTTCAAAGGACTTTATTTGAGGGATGACGCTTCAAAGTTTGAGTTTTATTAAATTGATGTTATTTATGAACCATAAGTTTAAGGGAAGGATTGTTGAATAATTTAGTAGCAGCACGTTAGAATGTGTTGATTTGGGTTGTCCTAATTTTTAGGAGTTTAGTAGTTTATTTATGTTTTGTTGCCTAGTTTGTAGGAGTAGTTTAGCATGATGTTAGTGGTGCCTATTTTTGTGTATGTAACCGTTTTGTTTTTTTAGCCTATATAATGGGCATTCCCTTATCAAAGAAGAAGTGAAGTTTCAGTCTAACTCTGTTTTCCCTTGTTTTTAGTTTATCATTTTCTTCTTCCAATTTACATCATAAACCCACAAAAAATGTGAATTTATTTAAGAGGTTGTATATAGTATTAAATACACTATTTATTCGGCCTGATATTATTTTTANTTCTTCTTCCAATTTACATCATAAACCCACAAAAAATGTGAATTTATTTAAGAGGTTGTATATAGTATTAAATACACTATTTATTCGGCCTGATATTATTTTTAGGTGACAATATCGAGCCCAAAATGTATATTCAAACATGAGTTAAGAGGGATAATGTGAGCCCAGCNAAATTTAGAAATTTTTGAATGTATTTGTGATTAGAGAAATTGATCGAATATTTATCTTTTGTGGATGTTTGGATGACCATGGGTGGCCATTGACTGGATATCCTATAGTGGGTTAGATGCGTTTCTTACTCTGTGTGGGTTTGAAGGTTCTNTACCTCCAAAGCAAACACCCTAAAAGATCACTTCTGACCCAACACAATTTTAGTGGTTACTTACTTAAACGACAAGTAATGATCACTTTTTGTTAAAACTAAGCTCGAGAGTTGATACTTATCTTGATATNTGTTATCGAGGTTGAGGGTTAGTATACTATTCCTGGGTTAGATTTGTCATTGCCATGAGTTGGCATACGCCCTTCCTAAAGGTTGGATATCCTTGCGAGGATTTGGGTATTTGTGTGGACCAGGATATTCTCGATGTGTTTATTCATGCGAATCATGCATCATACCTGAGATAGGAATACAAGTTGTGGATTTATGGGTCATTGTGTGGAATTAGTTTCCTACAAGAGCTTGTGGAGGTATGAGACTCTACAAGAACTTGTGAAAAATGGTTTATGGTTCGAAATGGTTTATTGTTGAGAAATTTNATAAAAGATTGTCATGAGGTAGAATTGAATCAAATGACACCAAGCACATAAAACTAAAATAGGGATAAGTATTGTTGTGTGTGACTGAGCCATCAATTAATTAATCTTCGTAATACCAACGGACTTTTGGTCTAATAGTACTCTTTATCTTATGAAAACTTTATCTTCTTGAGGTCAAATGTTCAAGTTTCCNGTGAAAAATGGTTTATGGTTCGAAATGGTTTATTGTTGAGAAATTTATTTTACTGTTCATTTAAATTATTGCGATTGCGTACACTTGAGATCAAATAAATAGTCATTGTTTTATTTCAAGTTATATATGCTATTTTGAAAAATGAGACCAAACTGTTTTATATATTTTTCTAAACCTTGTTCGAGATTGGGAGAATGTTGCTACAGAGCTTAGTGCTCACTCCCTACAAACAATATATTTTTCAGATTGTGGTTTAGATGAAGAGCTCGGAGTTGAGGAGCCGATACATTGGGAAGCTCCACTTGACGGGGTTGTGAATCCCGAGGTAGACGTCTAGGGTTATACTCTCCTAGGTACTAGACTAGGAAATTCTTTTGAGATTATGTAAAGATTATCCTTTTGTTATTCCGCTACAAATTTTAAACTTGATTTCTTTTGGGATGTAGATGTTATAGTTCAGCATATTCTTTTGGACAACGCTGTAGATATTGGGGATGATGAATAAAATTATTTTTAATTATAGATGTTATTAGCTGCTCTCGTGTTGTGAATGATTTTTAGATTGTAATGCCGTCCANTCTAGTGCAATTCTGAGGCGGAAGGTTGCGCACACGGGTCTTAACGATGTCTCTAGTAGGAGCCATGGGGTACTTGTGATTTCTGTTTCCGCTCCTTGTGATGATGGTTCTGGGAAATCTGTTACTGGGAAGCTGAACCTCATAGATTTAGCAGGTATTTTGGAGTGTCTAAGTAGTTTAAATTGATCAAAATTGTCATACCATGTGAATATAATCTCCTTAATTTTTAAATTTTTGAAACAATTTATGCGATTCTATCAGGTAATGAAGATAATAGGAGGACCTGTAACGAAGGTATTCGCCTTCAAGAGAGTGCCAAGATCAACCAGTCCTTATTTGCCTTGTCGAATGTGATTTATGCTCTGAATAACAACAAACCCAGAGTGCCATACAGAGAAAGTAAACTGACACGAATATTGCAGGATTCTCTTGGAGGAACAAGCCGCACTTTAATGGTAGCTTGTTTGGTAAGTGAGTTTTGATTTAGTTCAGGCTGGTTTATGCTTTCATTGTCAATGTTTATAAAAGGTTAATTATAATTTAATACGCTCAACCCTTGTTTGATTATAGAATCCAGGAGAATACCAAGAATCTGTTCATACAGTTAGTTTGGCAGCTAGGTCGCGCCACATATCTAATTTTGTACCATCAGCTCAGAAACAAGATACTCCTAAGGTTCAAGTTGACATGGAGGCAAAGCTCTATGCTTGGCTTGAATCAAAGGGCAAGACAAAGAGTAAACAAAGAATACGGGTGTTTGGTTCCCCATTTCCGAGTAGAACTCCTAGATCTGTAAGCTCTATGAAGAGACACGGTACACATAAGAGCTCTGCAAAAACTCAGGCTATTGCCAATCAAGGTGCTTCAAGTTTAAAAGAAAGGTAGGGGATGACTGCATGCACTTCTTGCTGCAGTGTGTAAGCCACAAGTTAGTTCCTATCACTTAATTACTCCAATTATTTGCAGGGAAGTGCATATGTGTTGCAGTAATCTATTCGACAACGGTGGTCTGTTAGATACAGCTATGGGGGTGAGCACTTTAATTTAGTAAACCAATTTTCATATTTTTGTTGTTGCTCTTGGTTTTGTTCTAGTTGATGTTTTATACTTTTATGGACACTTTAAAATAAGTCATGTTTGACACCAACTCCTGGACTCATAGGAGTGCCCAATGGAGAAAGGATAGAGCTCAACCTTGCCTTATTAGAAGGTTTTTGAATACCTGCCTAATCTAATTCTACGATTACATGGCATTTTAAGATAGCTGCTGTGCTCAGTTATTGCCAGAGGCTAATTTTTTACAAGTAAGAATGAAGAACACCCTGAAATTTAACCTCATCCCCATTCCTTAACTATAACTATTTTCTAGTCTTGAAAATTGCTACAAGAAAAATGTCTCCACAATGTACAGTTTCAAAAACTGCCTTGGTGTGGCAGGAAGGTATGTTGTTCAAAATTTGCAGAAGATAGAAGAATGAAAATACATACCAAAAAAAAAAAAATCATCCTACAATTATAGAAGCCAGACTCATCCAATAGTAATTTATTTTTCTGTGTGACATTTATCAAAGCTATAATGTTTTGATATTTTAAATATCTACGTTCGGTTTTGCTACTGAAGCAGGACCTTGCTGCTGAGAGAAAAACAAATGAGTTCAGGGCCTCTGCTGACAGGATAGTGTTAGACTCAACATGTGTGCCTGGTATGTTGCTGCTAAATGAAATTTGTTGAACTCGATCCATTGTTTTAAAGTGAAAGTCAATAGACTAATTTGACGCTTAAATAAACTTTCATTCTTTTTTGCATAGACGAACCATTGGATGACGAGAGGGAGCCAACAACCATCAAAGGTACCGACTTTGCCGCATTAACACCGACTAGAGAGAAAAGTAAAGCACTTCCAGGCTCCCTAAGAAAAGTTCTTTCTCCCATTAACTCTAACATCAACATTGAGCACATATTATCCAGAGACCAAATATATCCTGCCCTTTCTGATCCCAAGACACCTTCCATTCTGATGGCTGACAACAACTACAAAACGATTGGCACCCCACTTGATAAGTTTAATGCACGAAGTTCTAATTTGAAGGTATGGGGAAAATATTGGCCATCATTTATTTCTTGTCTCTCATTTGTGGTCCTAATCCTTGAAATTTGAATGAATGTACAGGGTACTCTTGCCCAAGAATATGTTGAGTTTTTGAATATGGCTAGCAGGTGATTACGGATTATTTTGTTTCTATTTCTCTTCATTTAGTTGGCCCTTTCATTCTTTAAGTTAATTCGGAGTTAACTTTTTCTTTGTCAATATCGTGTCAGGGAGGAGTTACTGGAGTTAAAGGTAGATTAACCATATTAATTGTAACAACCTGATTTTCATCTTTCTTATAGAACTGATTTCCTTTTCTGGTGCTACATTTAGCTGATATTTAACTTTTCAATTCAGGGAATTGGACGAAAGATGGCTGAATACATACTTGAGTTGAGGGAAACAAGCCCACTAAAATCGGTAAGAAAAACTTTTTTTTTTTTCGTGACATTAACAAGAATTTGACATTTTCTACTGTTGGGTGGACTAAATGCATAGTTTGAAATGTTGCAGCTAAGTGATTTGGAGAAGATAGGCCTTTCATCCAAGCAGGTAATACTCTTAATGAGTATATTATTATCTCCAAACATTGATATCAATAACAGGATTATGAGTTTATTTACTTAAAATTTGAAAATCTCCTGCAGATACATAACATGTTTGGTAGAGCTGCAAGAGGAATATTTGGTTGAGTTAATTTGCAACATCTAGTTGTTTGGGAGACTTGCAGCCGAAATTAATAGCCAGATGGTTTTCAGAACCGACCATCTGTGTTTTTATTTATAAATTGTTGTCTCACTGTATTGATATCCCTGTAATGTTACTAAATGGGAAGGCCTTACTCATGTTGTATGGTTGAGAAATTTGCCAGTCTTCAAAAGTTCTCATATATTTATGGCTTGTTTAACTTGTTCTGCCAGTATTTGCTGGTCTAGCACTTTTCTAGTAGCATTGCTTCGGATTATGAGCACTTTTCTCATATATTGGTGCTAAATTATGTTATTTTATAGGGCAACGCTATTCGAGTGAATGTTTGTCATGTATCCCTAAAACTTAAATAGACAAAAACCACCTCTCTTGACCCTGGATGGAGCTGCAGCAAAGGTTTAACGAGTCTAATCCATGACTCGTTAAACGATAAATTTTACTGAACTAGTCAAAAAAAAGTTGTGGCTTTACTGACAACTATAGTTTTTTGTGAAACGATAAATTTTTCGATCTAACAACCTCCTCATTGGGAGGATGTCGAGTGAAGTGTGGCAATTAATCTTAAGTCAAAACTCCAATGTTGATTCTTTTAACAATCAATTCCGATCAAATCACAATTAGGGTCGACCTAGTACCCATTGGGCTAACCTGTAATGAAAGATAAGGCATAAAGATATGATACACACACTTAAGCCAAGAGTTTTCCCGTAAGATTACTTTGTACAATCTTAATCTTTATGTTAGAAAGTGATATCTGACCACTAAGTCTTCTCTCACCACACAAGTAAGTGTATTGTATACAAGCACTTTAGCCGACCCGTAGATATGTGCAGATCTAGCAAGAGTAAAGAGTGAGACAATGTGTGGATACAACTGTCTCCCTAGCATGCTTGCTCATTAAAGAAAGGATTGGTTTGACTAACACCCCTCCGCAAGATGATGGTTGGTGGACGAACCATTAGCTTGGAACAGAATAAATGAAAACCCGAGGTTGATAATCCTTTCATAAAGATATCAGCAACTTGATCCATCTTGCATAAATATCGAACATCCAATTCTTTACCAACCACTTTTTCGTGAACATAATGATAGTCAACTTCAAGTTGTTTTGTTCGAGCATGGAAAATAGGATTTGAAGCAAGAGAGATGGAACTAATATTATCACACCAAATCACCGGTGTAGACAAAAAAATACGGACATCACGCAAAAGAGATCGCACCCACAAAATTTTTGCAGCTGTATAAGCCAATTAATGGTATTCAGCTTTAGTGCTGGAGCGAGAGGCGGTTGGCTGCTTCTTAGCACTCCAAGAAATTGAGTTGAGCCTAGATAAATACAATAACCTCTTCAGGACTACCAACATAATCGACATCTTAATAGGCCTCAAGAGTAAGAGAATCAAGTTGGAACATAAGACCATGATCAGAAGTCCCTTTCAGATAGCGTAAGATGCGTTTGACAGCAGTCCAATAGTAGGAGAATGCATGTAATGGCAAACTTGGTTAACAGCATAAGAAATATCGGGATGAGTCAAGCACCCACTACACTCCGATATTTAGTAGGATCTAGAAGAAGAGTTCCATTGCACGAGGTGATTTTCTTGTCACTGGCCACAGGGGATGAACATGGTTTGACAGAGGTCATCTGGGTTCGTTTAAGAAGATCGAAACCATATTTGGGCTAAGTCAAAGACAAACCATGCTCAGTGAAGATGGATTCCAGACCCAAAAAATAGTGAAAATGACCAAGATCCTTCATAGAGAAATGAGAGCTTAAATCAGAAATCAAAAGACGAAGGTGAACCTCACTATTGCTGATGTGAAGAATATCATCCACATATGTTAAGAGAAAAATGGTAGCCCCCTTCTGATCATAGGTAAAGAGAGAATAATCAGTATCTTTAAGATAACCAGAAAAATGTTGAAATGAAACCAAGCCCAAGGAGTTGGCCTGTTTCAAACCATAGAGAAAGTGATGCAGTCGACTAGGGCTGTCCATGGGCTGGGCCAGGCTTGGTCTGCGAATTTTTTTTTTGGTCGGGCTTGAGTAATATAGGCCCAAGCCCGTACACAGACGAGTAACAAGCCAGGCCAGCCCGGGCTGGGCTTCGCATAAGGGTAGCTGCTCGCAGCCCAGCCCATCACCTATTGGCGCGGGCTTTGCGGGCGGGCTTTTCTTGGGCCTATTGGGTGTACTTTGTTGGACGGATCTGTTTTGAGCAGGCTTTTTGGGTCCTATTAAAAATATATATAATTTCATTTAATTTTTTTATAAATTATATTTTTGAATTAAAAGTATAGTCAAAATAAAAATTGACAAAAATTAAATAATGAATAATTTTATTTATGAATAGAAGAGAAATTGCATCACTATAAAATGAGTACATCCTAACTAGGTTGACACTTACCCACCTATCTATCGTTTACACAATTCTACCCATTAAAGCCTTTTGTACATGAAAAACTAGAATATTTAATACNTTCCAATTAGGTTGACACTTACCCACCTATCTATCGTTTACACAATTCTATCCATTAAAGCCTTTTGTACATGAAAAACTAGAATATTTAATACATGAAAAAAAATACATCAATTTTAATATCTAAATTTCTAAAACTTTAAATTCTGGCATTGGGGGATTTATTTTCATATTTTGATCTCCCGCTTCAGCGGCATACCAATCTTGAAGACACATAAGGGCTTCCACTGTCTTTCCATCCAANTGTTGGCATTGCGG